TGTGTGTGTGTGTGTGTGTGTGTGTGTGTGTGTGTGTGTGTGTGTGTTATTACTCCTTCCCACTGCAAAATTATTTTTATATTCCTTCATAATCTTTTTGAATGCCCTGAACACTTGATAATTTGATCACAATAGAAATCCATTTCTGGAATGTATCTCCCAGATTGATCACACAGAAAACATAGCCAGAACCTTAATGGCCAGGAGCTGTTAATCTCCAATTTGGAAATCTCTTGTTCATATTTGAGTAGAGTGATGGTTATCTGAAAGGTGCGGGGGTCTTCTGGAGGAGAGTCAAATTGATTTTATTTTGTTTTTTAAGTCACATGCATTTAAAGCTGTCTGATCTTACCTTAGGTCAGAGTTATCTTTAAGAGCAAGTGTACTGCCTGTATGTCTTATGTTTACCTCCCTCCTCTGTCCAGGACCATAAGTCAACAGTGATCTCCTTAAAGAAGCTCATTGTAAGAGAAGTGGCACATGAGGAGAAAGGCCTGTTCCTCATCAGTATGGGGGTGAAAGATCCAGAGATGGTGGAGGTCCATGCCAGCTCCAGAGAGGAGCGGAATAGCTGGATTCAGACCATTCAGGATACAATCAACTCCCTGTAAGTGAGATGCTAGCCTTTCCCACTCTCCTAGTACCTCTATGTAACTTCCTGTAGACAGGGCAGTGACTATCTAACTGACATCTTAAACATTTTTTTGTTTGTTTGTTTGTTTGTTTGTTTCATCTTGCTTTATTTTGGTTATGTTAGGAACAGGGATGAAGATGAAGGGATTCCTAGTGAAAATGAAGAAGAAAAGAAATTGTTGGATACCAAGGCCCGGGAGTTAAAAGGTAAACTGATGGAAATGGTCTGAGATCTTTATCTGCAGTTTCAGAAGATGGCCAGTCTTTTCATGAGTCCTGAGATGTCTCAGTCAGCTAACTACAGAAACAAATATTTTCCAAAATTGAATGGTAATAAGAATGGTCAGAAATCTGCAAAGGAAAAAAGAGAATGCTATACTTTCAGTATAATTTTTTCAAGTGTTGAATGACCCTTTTAGGAGAATTGCTTGAGGGAGTAGAGGTGCCATTGAAAATGAACCGCTTAGAAGATCCTTAGGATAGCTTAGTGAGAAATGAGTGGGAAAGCAGACAGATGAAGAAATGGGGTTATTAATCAAAATGCTACTTCCAGCCTCAACCAGAGAAGCCTGTCTGCAAAGAACAGTGATGAGTGCAAGATGTATGATTGTTCAAGATGCTGAGAATAAGTTAGTGACAGTTAAGTGCTCAGCCCTGAGCAAGATATTTATACCACTCCCTCTGAGGCTCTGGGGAGCATGGTAGAAGAAGAATGTAAAAGATTCAAGATATGATCACTTTCCCCTAATGGGACTTCCCTACCAGGCCACAGGGGAGGAAGACGGACTCAGCCCTCATGTGAATAGATGAGCTTGGATGTCTGGGTAGGGGGGCTCTCCTATTCCTCAGAATAGTGGAGAGGGAATGCAGGAGGGAGGGCCCTATAATAAAAAGAAGAGCTTCAAGGTAGGGGCAAGGGCTGTGAGTGCTGACTTCTGTACATGGCACGGTGGTTACAGTCAGCACTTCACAGTAGCTATGGCTGCCTACAGTGGTCCCCAAGAGTCGATCAGGGATAGGGCCGCTACCCTTTCCTGCTGACGGAATTAAGAGGAATAGCAGTTGTAGTCTTAAATCTCCATTGAGGAGCTCATCAGGCTCCAGTAGATAGTTACAGCCCATGGCCACACTGACGATCCTAGTTAAACTCAGTATCAAAAAGAACAAATCAGCAAAGTCATGAATGTAGGATAATGACTTGGGATTGAATACCAGAGGCAGGAAAGAAGTTGGGGTAAAAGAATATACTTTATAGATGTATGAAATTGCCAATAATCAAACTTTAAAAAAATAGTCAGCTGAATGTGGGTGATGGGACAGAATGAGGAAACAGTTTTTTCCAAGCTGGATAACCTGGAAGATAAAGAGTGCTAACTAAGGAAACAAACTTTACCCTAAATTAAAGGTGAAGCAGCTGGAAGAGATTGATTTCTGACACCCTGAGAGTACTCTCTTGAGATAGTCACTTGTTAACTCAATGGTCTGATGTTCAGAAATAAAGTAGGACTGGGGGTGCTTGCTGGGGATTATCAGCAGACAGGAGGCTGTTGATAGTGAGTGAGAGCCCCAGGAGGAAAGTATATAAGATATAGAGGGCAATCCAGCTGTGCCATTCCACTGTAGATGGAGGACCCATAAGATGCCCTGTGGAAGAAACTGATGTCTTCAGGGAACACAGATGGGAAATTGTTTCAGAAAAGAGCGGGTAATTACCCATGCAGGAAAAGACCTAAAAGTAATGACTCTTTGGGTACTCTAACTAAGACAGCTGCAGGAAAGTGGAGCCAATGCCAAAGTGTGGTGAATTGAAAATAGACAGGAAAGGAGCAGAAACAAAATGCAGACTAGTTATGTCAGAAATGCTGGTGTTTCACATAATAGAACCCAGGGCAGTTTTAGAAAGTACAGAAGCTTAATACTGTGCTCAGGATGGGAGCCTTTTTCTGGCCCTTTCCCTAACTACCACAAGGTGGTGCTCATCTCTCAGTCATCTTGTGATCCCCAACTCCAGACAGTGGTTTCTCCATTTGCCCTGCAGAACAACTTCAGCAGAAGGACCAGCAGATCCTTCTCTTACTAGAAGAGAAGGAGATGATTTTCCGGGACATGACTGAGTGCAGCACTCCCTTGCCTGAGGATTGCTCCCCAACGCACAGCCCACGAGTCCTCTTCCGCTCCAACACAGAGGAGGCTCTCAAAGGAGGACCATTGATGAAAAGTGCAATAAGTGAAGGTAATTTACACACAGCACTGGCCTCTCTATCCTGTCCTGGAGAAATTCACATACTAATCTTCCTTACCAGTTTCTGCACTTACTATAGAACAAAACACCAGTATAAAAAACTTCCCGGTATCCCTGTGGTCAATCATCAAGTAGACATTGCTCATAACCATTCAAGCTAAGAAATAAAATGTGGCACACACCCTGAAAGCCTTTGTATGTCCCCATCACACTTAACTTCCTCCTGCCAGGAGCAGCTGCCCTAACTTGTATCAATAATATTTAAGTACTTTCCCTTCTTTCTGTTCTTAATTTTTTAAGTTACGTAAATGTATTTACTATGTATGTGAATGTGTATGGGTATACGCGTCCTACAATAAGCACTTAAAGGTAAAAGACAACTTAAGGATTTCTATTGTATCCACCATGTAGGTCCCAGGATTGGCTCCATGGTGAATATCTTTACCTGCTATCTTAGTTAGGACTATTATTGCTATGAGAAGAAACTGTGACCAAAAACAGTTGTGGGGGGGAAAGTTCATTTGGCTTACATTATCACATTGCCGTTCATCATCAAAGGGAGTCATAACAGGCATTCAAACAGGGCAGGAACCTGGAGGCTGGAACTGATAAAGAGACCATGGAGGGGTTCTGCTTACTGGCTTGCCCACAGCCTGATCTTGTGGGGGCATTTTTCTCATTGAAGTTCCCTCTTCTCAAATAAGTTACTGTAGTTAGTGTCAAGTTGACGTACAGCTGTCCCACATACCTGCTGAGCTATTCTGCAAGCCCACCCTCCCCATCTTTGCCATGCACTTTATCTTTGGGTTAGCTGACCTTTTTGAACAACAGGTTGTATTTTTTCATATGGCACCTCTGTCCTCAAAGTCTTTCTGTCACAGCTGCTTTCAGAAGCTGAATCACTCAGACTTGATGAAATTGATGTGTTCCTATGGTGCTGAATTCTCTCATTGGGAAGCATTAGATCCCAGTTAGTCCTCTTTTAAAGGTAGTCTTTATAACTGTGGGTATCCTTTCCAAGGATACCCATGTTATAGAATTAGAATATCCTCTGTTGAGTCAGTACAATGGCTTAGTTTAGGTAAAGGCTGCAAAAGACCTGAGTTTGAGTCCCAGAAGCTGCATAATGAAAGGAAAGAAGCAATCCTGCAAATTATCCTGGCCTCTACACTTCTTGACCAGGGTGCATGTGCGAACGCCTGAGCACATGTGCATACACACAGAATCAGTGTTTTGAATGAAAAGTACATTAAAAAGAATATCCTTAATTAATATCCCAATCCTGCTTTAACACTGGTACTAGTGTACGAATGCTGCTGCTATTCCTACCCATACAGTTTTCACACACAACGCTGTCTGTCCCCCATCCTCCATCCCACTGTTGAACTGTGTCTACACATCTGGACTGGAGCCATTCCTATGCACTCTGCTCCTCGCCTGACCTGTGGTATTTGTTCTTTAAGCATGTTTTTATAGAACCTCATCCTTAGGTCAGTGTCCTCATAGCCCCATCAAAATAATATTTCTGACTTCTTTATTGATTTGTGCTTTTCAACTTGAAAGTGTCTTGAGTCCAAATCTTTTTAAAGAATGTGCCATGTGGTTACTTGTTATGAGACTCACTGTCTGCTTAATAATGTGGTCAAATATTTTCAATTTCAGAAAAAGTCTTGAATTGCAGTTCTTTGTATTCCCTCTGTTCCCTGGCTTCAGTTTTTTTCTTCAAGCCAGTTTGCCGTATCATGCAACTTTCTTGCCTAGGGTCATTATTTGTCACTTTTAATAATCCTCTACCTATTTATACGTCTTCTATTGAATACATTGCTCATATGTGTTTTTTTTTTTTTTCTGCGATTATTTTTTCTGCAAGTTCTGAATTTCATTTGTTCTACCTTTCTGTTTTGGGTTTTTTGTTGTTGTTCTGTTATAGAGGCCTTATTACAGAGAACACACTGACCCCAGCCTGTGTTTTGCTACCTTGGGCTCCTGAGCTGAGATAGCTAAGGTGCCACTACACCAGCTTTTCTTTTTTTTTTTTTTTTCTAACTTTAGCTTAAGTGATTTTGTGCTTTGCATTCTTTCTTCAGTGTTCATCTCATTTGTTTAATGGAAACATCTTTCTAATGTGCTCTAATTATCTATAGGAAGTTACGTTCCTATTTCCTGACTCTTTATATGGGACTTTACTAAGTATTTTTAGTTGTTTATTTTCTTCCTTTGAAATTTTTCCTTTCAAATAATGTTTCTTGCTGGTCATTTGGGCAAGTTTCTTACATCTATTTTTTTCTATTATATCTTTCTATTGTTTCTTATTGCCTTCTTAAAATTGGATTTTCCTTTCTGACTCTGACTCCCTCTGGACCTCCTTTCTCATCCGCCTGTGTTGCTCTCCTGCTCTACTTTCCTGTAGCTTCAGTGTCGTCTCCGTGGACCCTGCCCTAGAGAAGATCTCAAGTTAACAGTTAATGGTTGCATTGGGAGACTCGGGTGGTTAGGCTGTCAGCTGCCCCTGGGGCACACCTGCTGTCAGAGGAGCAAAACCCTGCCAGCTTTATGTTCTCAAACTGCCTCACTTTTCCAGGGACCTTTCAGCTGCTTTGAAACCACTCCAGAAACCACACTCCTTTCAGTAAATTACTCCGCCTTCCTGTTGCCTGACAGATTTTCAGGCCCATGGAAGTAAGGTTTCATGAAGTTTGTTCCTACGTTTCCAGTAGAGCCCCGCTAAAACGTATGGTGAACCAAGATCCTCTAGGCAGGAAAATTTACCTATTCTTTGGGGTTTTTTCTGATCCAGTCTATATATTGCATGTTGCCATGACTTTTGTTGTTGTTGTTTTGGGGTTTTTTGTTTTTTTTTTTGGTTTTTTTGTTTTGTTTTGTTTTGTTTTGTTTTTTGGGTTTTTTTGTCTGTTTGTTTGTTTGTTTGTTTCATTTTTCGAGACAGAGTTTCTCTGTAGAACCTTGGCTGTGCTGGACTCTCTTTGCAGACCAGGCTGGCCTTGAACACACACAGATCCACCTGCCTCTGCCTCCCCAAGTGCTGAGATTAAATCATGTACAACCATGCCCATGGACATTTTTTTCTTTTTAATTAAAGATAGCTATGTTTGCTTTTTTCCAGTGGAAATCCTTCAGGGTTTGGTGAGTGGAAGCCTTGGTGGCACACTTGGACAGTCTATCAACAGCCCTGTTGAGCAGGAAGTCATGGCTGGACCCATTTCTCTGCCCCGGAGAGCAGAGACCTTTGGAGGATTTGACTGTCATCAGATGAATGCTTCCAAAGGTAAGCCATCCATTATTCCTTTGCTGCTCACAGTGACCTGGATTCTGGTAGCCCTTCTCCTTTGCCCCTGCGCCAGTAAATGTCTTCATGAGAGTCTCAAATACTCAAGAATTTCTGTCAGAATCATGTTCATCTGGGACCATGAGGTTTTTTGTTTTGTTTTGTTTTGCTTTGTTTTGTTTTTCTGTTGTTCAACTAAGCTAGCTATAGCCAGAGGCCTTGAGCATCTCTAACCTGAAAAGTTGAAATCCAAACTGCTGAGGTCAAAACTTCCTGACATGTCTCGGTTGGGAACTCCACACTTGAAAAGTTGCAGTGAGACCCAAGCATGCTCAAAATTCTGTGTAGCATTATCTCCAGGCTCTGTGTATTAAAGTGTCTGTGAGGCATTCAGTAACTCTGACAAGAGTCCCATCTTCCAGCTGTCTATCATGACATGCATTCAGGCACCTGAGGTGAAATCTCTTCTGGCCCTAAGCATCAGATGAGAGACGCTAGAGTGTGCTTGCCGTTTTGTTTGGTTTTGTTTTGGACTTCATTTTCTTGCTTCCCATTATTGAAGTTGTGAATAATGGCCTAGTGCTACTGACTGGCTTCCTGGTCGTTTATTTTTAATTTTGATATTAATAGAATTCAGAACTATTAATACCCATAAACTATCCATATTGTAGGCTTGTCTACCTACAATTTGAAACATACATATCTGTATTTTGTTTAGGAGGTGAAAAAGAAGAGGGTGATGATGGCCAAGATCTCAGGAGAACAGAATCTGATAGTGGCCTGAAAAAGGTACGATTTTTCTAGAGAAACACTCATATCTGTGAACCTATTGATACCTCCTCGGAGTTCATTACCTTTTTTTAAATATTTTTTTTTATCTAGCTCAGATATAAGCTTGCCACTCATAATGAAATTCTATTTTCTAGAGAAAGCACATTCTTAGAGCAAACCACACAGTTGAGAGGCTTATATCATTGGCACTTTGAGACCCCTGGCTCAGAGTGTCCTTTCTACAGACCCAATTCCCCTATCCCTTAGTAGGACCAGTTTCATTAAGCAGCCTGTTTGATGCTCCCAAACCATCTCAATCTTGTTCTTTGGCTTTTTTTTTTAGTAAAACCTAGTTCAATTTCTTCTCTTCACACCTTCCATGGAGATGCTATGATAGAAAAGAAGGAAAGCCAGAAGTACAGTATAACTTAGAAACACATTAAGTATAGTATTTACATCAAGACTTTTATTTTTAAATGTATTTTTATTATTATTTTATAGGGTGGAAATGCTAACCTGGTATTTATGCTTAAAAGAAACAGTGAGGTAAGGAGTCTGTGAACTTCTTAGAGTATTTATTGGATTCAAAATATTTTTGTTTTGCTCTTACACATATCTCGTGGCTATCATTATGTACAACTGAAGAGTATAGATGTCCATTTTCTTGGATTAAGTCACTGTCTTGAGATTTTGCTGATGTGTTGCATACTGTGAATGAAGACTTTTCTGATTCTCTTGTCTCTGTCTCTCTCTTGACAAGGGTCTCACTATGTAGTTCTGTTGTCCTGGAATTCACTTTGTAGGCCAAGTTGCCCTCAGAGTTCTGCCCTCCTCTGCCTCCTGAGTGTTGGAATTAAAGGCGTATGGCACTGCTGAAAAAAAAAAAGGGAAGATTTTTTTTCTTTATAATGCCTTTTGCTTTTGTTCAGCTTTGCCTATACAAGAGCCCCCTTGGTATTAGTCAAGTGCCCACTGGGTAGAATTTTTAGCAGCTTTTCCTATAGTACAAAGATCCCAGAGGCCACAGGTCTAGAGTATGAGTTAAACTTGTGACAAATTCTCTGTAGTAATTTCTTATCTTTGCTGATTTTGCCTCTTTGAACCCTTCCTTTCCTGCAAGAAAGCCTGGTGTCCTCCACATGGAAAATCAGCCCCTGGGGTGCTCCTTCGGCAGCCTGCTATCACTAAGCCTGGCCTTGAGGGCCTGTTGAATCTCTTTCAGGGTTACTGCTGTTTCCCAGACAAGTGCTCATGCTGAACTTTGCATTTGTGTGTCCTGCACACTTGAACCCATGCTTTTTTAGGGTATTTCTCAAGGCTGCTTTTTGTAGTTCATTCTTCCTTGTTGCTGTGTATATTATCTTAAATCCCTGGGAGTTTTGTTTTGAACTTTTAAACTGCTTCCTCCTTCCTGTGCCCCCACAAAAAAATTCAGAGGATGTTGTATTATATTTGTTGGCAAAGGAGTTTGCTGAAGGACTCACTCTGATACACCAGGGCCTGGGCCCTGTAGGCTGCTGCTTTCTGTATACTTGTCTTGAAATGAGCTGTCAGCTGAGTTTTTCTATTTGGCAAGGTCCCCTGTACTCAGTGAGGAAGTCTGGTGGGAAGTAAAGAGCCTGGCTTTCAAACTGACTGCACGGCTACAGTCAGCAGGCTTCTGTGCCTTCTGTTGTATGATTCAGTGTAAGCAACAAGAAAGGATTCTCAGAACTAAGCTTAAGTGTTATAAAAAGAATAAGGCAAAGACTAGTAGCATAAATCATCTAAATTTAAGCACAACCCACCACTGAAGAGTAATAACTATCTCTTTCTGCTCTTCTCCCATGTAGCGCATGCATGGTCATGTGTGTGACCTCCTAGAGGTCTCTCAATGCAGCAGAGGCATTTTCCCAAGACATAGGAGCACAATGCCTGCTGCTGAACAACTGCATGTTAATTACCGCTGTCAGGTCCTAGAGTTGAATCTTTCTGGTGGTTAGTCCCTTTTCTACTTTTTTGCACATTATATTTGTTACATAGCTCTCTGATTTTCCTCACAATACCATATTACTGTGTGAAAGGAGGTGGGATATAGCCAGGTGTGTCTGTCCTCATTTTACTTTCACCAGCATTGAGCAATGCTGTTTTTAAATTGGCATTTTGTTGGTTTGATAATCTCGAATAACATTTCATGATTTGTGCATGTGTGTATGTGTGCTCTGTGGATTGAGCACACAAGGGTCTCACCCATTGAGGTACAGTTTCAGCTGCTGAATGTGTTTTTTAATGTTTTATGTAGTTGCTATTTGTAGTTTTTTTTGTAAATTAATATTTATTTCTGTCCTGTTTCTGAACTAAGATATTCCTTATTTTCTTTTGTATTTTGTTCTAGCCCATATATTTTATTTTATTGATGCATATCAGTGCTTTGCCTCCATGTATGTCTGTAAATTACTTGCATGCAGTTCCTGCAAATGCCAGAAGAGGGCAGTGTATCCTGAGACTAGCGTTACACACTGCCCTGTGGGCGATTGAAATAAAATGCAGGTCCTCTGGAAGAACAGCCATTGCTTTTACCTCACTGAGCAATCTCTCCAGCCCTTATACTTATAATTTAAGTGGGATTTATTGTGTTTTTGTTCAGTGTGTGTATGAGCCAAGGTTTCTAAATTAAAGTTTTCCAGAAATGACAGATTTTTTAGAGTTAATATTTTTTACTTTGCCTATGATTATTCATAAACTGAATATAAATTTTCAGCGCATTCTTTCTTTTAAACCTTAAGGTATGTACTATTTCTATGTCAATCATTTTATAAAGTAGAAGCTTTTATGTAGTACCTTTTAATAAGCATGTACATAGATGTACATGCGCAGCTCTTTAATCTTGGCTGCTTGCACTCGGTTACTCTCTTAGGTTCTTTTTGTTTTAAAAGATTTCATTAAAATGTAATGTCTTTTTGTGTTCTGAAGATGCTATAACCATGTGGTGTGGTAGATTCTGAGAGTCGGAAAAACTGAAATGAATGTTTATTCCCTTGCCAGCAGGTTGTCCAGAGCATCGTTCACCTCCACGAACTCCTTAGCATGCTGCAGGTACTTGCGTCATCCCTAGCTGTGTACTTACTTGTTCAGAGAATGCAGCACAGAGATTTTGTGGACCTCAATCTTTGGGGTTTAAAAGTTACTTCTTAGTAAATAAGCCAAAGAAGATTGGCTTCCAGTTAAGAAAATGAAGACATTACAATCTGTGGAACCTTCCCCAGAGGCTGTCTCACCTTAGAAACCTTTCCTTATCTCCCTCTGGTCCCTGTTTTGGGTGGCTTTCCGACGCTCTGTGGTGCTTCCCAGGGATGGCCCTCAGTCTGCTCTCTTCTTGAAGAGTTTACCTGTTTCTTTCCTCTCTCTTCCCTCTCCCCTCCTCCTCTTTCCCTTCTCCCTCCTCTGTCCTGCACAGTACACACTCATCCTACCCCAAAATACCACCCAAGAATTCTAGAAAACGTATGACCATGGCTAGTGAGATGGTCCAGCAGGTAAACATGCCTGCCTTGACAACCTGGTTCAGTCCTCAAGACCCACATGGTAGAAGAACTGATTTCCACAGATTGTCCTCTGACCTTTACATGCTCTCTTACATGTGCATGCCCACACAAAATAAATTGCCATTTTCTTGGGATAGGGTTTCTCTGTATAGCCCTGGCTGTCTTAGACTCTCTTTGTAAACCAGGCCGGCCTCGAACTCACAGAGATCAACCCTTGTCTGCCTCCTGAGTGCTAGGGAAATCACCACGCCTGGTGAAATCTCTCTTTTTTTTTTTTTTTTTTTTTTTAGCTTAAAGAGAAATTAGGTGACCAGGCTTGACAAAATTGAATTCCCATATCTTTGACACTTTGAGAATTGCCCAAAGTTGCCCTGGAGCATATTGTTACAAAACCCCAACTCTGTCCCAGTGCCTCTAGGGTGGGGTCAGGGAAAGTTCCTTGCAGGTGGCTCTACTCCAGGGCCTGAGTTGTATGATTGTTCTCTATGTCATGACAGGGTGTTGTGCTACAACAAGATAGTTACATTGAGGACCAGAAGCTGGTGCTGACGGAGAAGGTACTCACAAGGAGTGCATCCCGCCCCAGCTCTCTCATTGAGCAGGAGAAGCAGCGGAGCCTGGAGAAGCAGCGCCAGGACCTGGCCAACCTGCAGAAGCAGCAGGCACAGCACCTGGAGGAAAAGCGCCGACGCGAGCGTGAGTGGGAGGCCCGTGAACAGGAGCTCCGAGAACGAGAGGCCAAGCTGGCTGAGAGGGAGGAGTCAGTCCGCCGAAGGCAGCAGGACCTGGAGAGGGACCGTGAAGAGCTCCAGCAGAAGAAGGGCACTTATCAGTGTGATCTGGAGAGGCTCCGGGCTGCCCAGAAACAGCTGGAAAGAGAACAGGAGCAACTGAGGCGTGATGCAGAGCGGCTCAGCCAGAGGCAGATGGATCAGGACCTTTGTCAGGTACCCAAGAGCCCATGCCAGAGCAGTGGACAGGGAGGAAGGGTCTTGCTACCATGAAGACCAGGCAGTGACCGAGGGTGATTATAGGCTTCCTTCCCTAAGAGACACATGATGCTTTGCTTTACTCTGAACAAGGGGAGGAAGTGAATCTCTCCCTCAAAGAGATTGAAGAGGGTGGCAGATATGTTGGGAATATAGCACAGAGCAGTTAGTGAGTCCTTCAAGCTACCATTCTGGACCAAAGGAGCCTCGCATGTCTCAGAATGGCAGTTAACCCTTGTCTTATCGCACATGGTAAATCAGGCATGTGTCCCCACAAATAGGAAGGATAGAGGAACCCTTAGGACCTACCTGCCTGTGGTCAGGAGATAGCATCGATTAGCTCTGCTACAAGACAACCTGTTCTGAGGACCAGCAGGTGTCAGTGACAGATAGAAGAGCTCAGCAAGTGATAGAAGGTGGTCGCCTCTCTTGTACATGGATGGTATCTTGGGCAGGATAGCCGTACGTCTGCACTCTGTATAATGCCTGGTTTTCTTTAATGCTGTTGTATGTTCTCTTTTCTCTGTAGCTGCTGCTTGTTCAGGAAGGATTTCTGTCATGCAGCATTTTGACTGTGACATTACTGTAGTGAGATAATCTCTTTGCCCTGGAATGTGGGCATTGGAGGCAGATAGATAGCTTGGGAGTGTGCACATCTCCCTGTCTTTTAAAACTTGTCCTGTTGCCCTTTAATTGACCTTGGACCATGAAAGAGATGTCTCCCAGAGTCGGGGACAGTATGCTTTTTCAGAAGAGCCTCTCAAATACATAGCAGGGAGATCAAGTGGCACTGTTGCATTTTCGAGCCAAAGGGTGGATCCATTCACATCCCAATAAAATCAGCAGAACTTTGACAAGGGAGGCTTGGTTCCCGGGCAACAGAGAACACAGATGGGATGATGCTCTTCTGTTAACCCTCTAGCCTGGCCAGGTCCATAATCTCTTTGCCCTGAAATGATACCTGCATTCCTATGTGCATCAGCCTTTAAATTGGCAGCCATCCTGTTCCTTCAGGGAGTGGGAATTCTTTTATATGGTGCCTCATCAAAGACTCAAGTGTTGTCAGTATTGGAGGTAATGATTTAACATACTCATAGATAGTAGTTGGAAGGAAGCAGTTGCATGAAGTCCTGTTTTACTGTATATTCTTTAGAGTGTGCCCACTAAGAAGCTGACAGCTTCCAGTTTTAATACCTTCTCTTCTCTTGAACATGTGCAGGTTTCAAATAAACATGGAAGGCTGATGCGGGTCCCATCCTTCTTGCCCAATCCGGATGAGTTCTCCTTGCCACCTGCACCTTCCATAACCAAATCAGGGTCATTGGACTCAGAACTTTCAGTGTCTCCTAAAAGGAACAGCATCTCTCGGACACACAAAGATAAGGGGCCTTTTCATATACTGAGCTCAGCCAGCCAAACAAAAGTACCAGAGGGGCAGAGTCAGGCCCCATCCAGCACCTCCTCTTCCACCCGCCTTTTTGGGTTAGCTAAACCAAAGGAAAAGAAGGAGAGAAAAAAGAAGAGCAAAGGAAGCCGCTCTCAACCTGGTGGTGAGTTGTCCACCCTACGCTGTCTCCCTGTGGTCATGGCAGCAGCATTCCACAAGAGAGGGTAGTGATGGGTTGAAAAAAAAAAACAAAACACACAGTTCAGATGTACAAAAGCCAAGCTGGCCCCTGCCAACCAAGCCCACTTGCTAAGAGTACTTGTGCAGGGACTGCAGAGATGACCCATTTGGTAACATGCTTGCCATTCAAACATGAGAACCTGAATTATATCTCCAGAGATGGAAGCAGAGGTAAGAGGATCCCTGGAACTCACCCACAAGCTAGTGTAGTGATACTGGTGAGCTTCAGGTTCAGTGAGAGACCCTGTCTCCAAAATAGTAAATAATAATGATGATGATAATAATCTTCTGGCATCTATGCACATAGAGACACATGAAAAGAATGCTCGTGCAAGGGCTGGAAAGGTGACTCTGAGGTTAGAGTCACTGCCCTTACACAGGGCTCAGGTTCAGTTTCCCACATCCACATGGCAGCTCCCAACCACTTGTAACTCCAGGTCAAGGGTATCTTCTGACCACTGTGGGCTGAATGTCTGCATGAACCTGGTGTACACACATACTTACAGGAAAACAGGCATAAGTTTTTTCAAATAGAGTGCTTGTGCAGTGAATGTCCAAGGCCTTGTGTCCTAGGCCTCATGCCTGTGGAGTACAGTTTCCATTTCTCAAGCATTCTCCCTATTGGGGAGCCAACTCACCTGATTGAAGTCATTCAAGCCCTCCCTGTCCTGCTAGGCTTATTCTGCTAACCAATAACAACAGCAAGATTGAGTATTGAGCCTTCACATATTTGTTTGGCAAATTGGATCTCACATTTCCCTTGGTCCTTTGCTGTGCCTTCACATAAAGATTGAACTCCACTTCTGTGTGGGAGATTTGTATCTCTTAGGTTAGGCCTATTTACAAACATGAACACTAATCACTTTGCAAACTCTAATCGGCTTGTGCCAAAAACCACAGTTACCTGTCCCAACACAGGAACTTGACAGGATAGGAAGTGATGTCAGAAGGGCTGTGTTCTCACTCTTGTTTCTTGGTTGTAGATGGTCCTGCGTCAGAAGTTTCAGCAGAGGGTGAAGAGATCTTCTGTTGATCCTCTGCCAGGGCAGCCGCCTTCCAACCCTCACCTGATGGTGGAGCTGCTACCGCACCCCTGCTGCCCCTCGTGCACAAGTCTCTTACACTGGACGCCCTCTGCCCCTCAGCGTCCAGTCCTCCTGAGCTACCCCAGGTCCTGGACAAGAAGGAGCAGCACCTGTTGGGGGGTGGGGACGGACACTCTGACTCCACTCCAGCCGTGACTGTGACTACCCAGGACTTGGGTGGGCCTGGCCTTACTCAGGGTATTACACTGAAAGTAGTGACCCTAGAAGTAGGTAATAGTTTGAGATGTCAGGATTCCCTAAAGCCTCCAAATGAGGGCTAAAACTTTGCCTTGTGTTTTGGGGGAATACAACAAAGAGCAGATAGTGCAGACTTTGTAAACAGTGACCATCTCCGTGTGCACATGGAGTACACCAGCTGTAGAAACAGTCTTTCTTCAACATCAAGATAGCCTAGCCCAAGAGCAAGCACCTGACCGGCCAGGTGGCATGTGGATATTCAGTATTTCACCCTGTGGTCCTCTGAGATTGGGCTTCTTGCAACGGCCCCAGTGCATACAACACCCTTCTTTGTATGTATTCCTCATTTCATTGTAGGAATGTTTGTGAAACTAGCGAGAGGCCTGATGTGTACAGAAAACACATAGTGTGCACCGCCTGGAACTCCACACTCTAGGCTGAACTATCTCACTTCATCTAGATCAGGAAGAAACACACTGCCTGTCGTAGGGTGCCTGTCCTCATGCTCTGTCTGCTTGAGGACTCTTCACCACTGCCCCACTATGATGCTTTCTGGTCCAGTATGTTACTGGACCTCCCTGTGGGAAAGCATGGACTCAGTTGGTGCTCCCAGCACCAATGTACCCTGAGGCCTCTCTGGAGTTACTGGCTGAAAAGTGGGTTCCAGTGTAGGAGTTAACTCTGTCTGGTGGGAGAGGGCAGCTGGTCCTGAAGTATGGTTGGGTGCACAAGGCCGCCTCACATACGGTTTTCAGTTGCATTTTGCTTGGTTGTGCTCTAACCCTTGACACTGTCAAGTGCTTGCCTGTCTCTCTTCTCGCCCTCCGTCTCCATGTGTTGATCTGTGCATGCTTGAGGCTTTTCCCAGCTCTTGTGTGCAGGACAGTTCATTGGTAATGTACCCTCTAAGGCTCACGTACTCCCCATGAGGGGCACGCTGAGGTCTGTGCTTCACACGTGGCCTTCAGTTCCTGGTTTTGCCCTCAGAAACGTGAGGCTTTGAACAGTTATGCAAAAACAAACCTGTACGTTGGTGCTTGTTGGTGACCTGCAAGCTGGCCTTGCAGGTACAGATATTTATCTTTCAGTTTACTTGAAAGAGTTCTGGTTTAAATTTTTTAGCCTAAATTTGTTTTATTTATTTTGTGTTTGTGTTTTGTTTTATTTTATTTTGAAAGTGAACCAGTACTGGCCCAACAGTTTAAACCATGTTTTCAGTACAGGGAATGAAGTGTCTGTCCAAGTGCATGAAGGTCCCGAGGAAAACGGAGGGTTGAGACCGGAGCTGTGCTCTCCCTCCTGTGTCCATTTTTTTTTTTTTTTTTTAATAAGGGAGGTCTGTCCTTGGAGGTTTTAAAAATTGCCCCATCAGCTACCTTTACCTCCTTTTGATAAGGCTGGTTTATTTTCTACTGAAGCTATGTCGGACTTTCCTCAAGAACCTTAACAGCAAGAAATTAGTTGCTTCCTTCCCCAAGTCCAGGTTGGACTTCTCCAGCTGTCACAGCAGAGCCTGCCATGCCTCACATCCACCTCAGGGTTTGGCTGGCAGTCCTTGTCCCTGCCTCTGAATGCCCTCTCCGGGAGACTCTACCCTTCCACAGCAAAGCCCGTTTGCTTGTGGGGAGAGAACCTGACTCCCACCTAAACTTAACAGAAAATCCAACCAAACCCTGCCTCTGACCTGTGCAAAGGGAAGCCAGTGACTGCCTCCAAGTTCACTCTGATACACCCAGTGAGCCACTGTGCACCCCAGTGAAGCTTCATTCCTACCCCAGTGCTCTCTACCCCCACCAGCTATGTTGTCTTTTGCTTGCTTTGGTTGATTTTTAAAACCAGTTTCACTTCTACCCATACTCTGCAAATCAATGGTCAGGGACAGTTGGGAGAAGTTAAAATCAGAAGAAAAAAACACCCTGAGTGCCCCTAAGCTGTCCAGCTTCCTCCAGGAAGAGAACCATTTGCCAAGAACTGTTTAACCTGCCTGCACGTTCTGCCACCCTCACAACTGTCACGCTTGGGGAATTGCTGCTTGTGCTCTTGCTTAGGACCCTGAAGATTGCTGTCAACAGCCTTGTGTGAGATTCTCTTCTGTGAGAAAGGAGGTTCACTAGGGACCAGGATTTTGTTCTGTCTTATTCCCCATACTAGGAAATCATGTTTCTACATCAAGCTAAAGAAATTGTTGCTTTAGGGGACAGGTGGACATTGACCCCAGCCTTGTAGAATCTAGTAAACTTTCTGGAAGATTGTATCTTCGCAAAAATTGTAATCATCTCAGCAGTTGTCATCCCATCTAGGTGACATGAGCACTTTAAATGACCTCTCATCAGCTGGCTTCATTTTCAAGACAATCAAATCTGTTAACTGTTTTCTTAGACGATGGAGAGGATTAAAAAAAAAAAAAAAGCCCTTATAACCATCCCTTTCCTGTCCTCGTGAGTCACAAGTCACCCACAGGGAAGAAGCCCTTGCAGTGATTGACTTTTCAAAAGGTACGAGCCAAATCTTCTGAGGGTTACACCACTAATGCCGCCCCTTTAGTCCCCTACCCACCGCCACATTGGTTTTCTTCACAGCCTCATAGAGCAGTAAGCACAGATGTTGGACCGTTGGACAGAACCTTGGCCCACAGGCGGCCAGAGCTTGCCGTGAGTCCTCTCCACACAAGTTTTTGTCTCCTTCTCTGCCCCTGAGGTTCTTTGTGACCTCACCGTTGTTCTTGCCAAGGCTTTTGGAATTTCACTGGACCGAAGTTGCCTTTGACCTGTGCCCAGAAGACAGTCCTGGAGAATGGGCTTCCGTGCCTGGACACCTGAGCACGGGTACCTTTGGGTGAAGAGTAACCCTGGCCTTTCCTGCAGAGACCAAGGGCACAGTGTGTTTGGGTTTGGCTCCTTGTTTTCTTTCATGTAGCATAACATTCCTAGTTAACTAGAGCTTTGGAGTCTGCTGCCTGCTGGCCAGGTTTAGAAATGCAAAGTATTCTAATGCTGCCATAAAAGGGGGAGAGGGTGGCCGAGGCCTTTTCCTGCACTCATATGATTTAACTTGTCGAAAGATTGAAAGGTCCTGAGTTATTTCTCCATCTCACTAAGGTGTAAGGCGGGTGGCCCCCACTGCTGTAGTGTGCCCTGCCGTGACCCCAGGCAGGAGCCACTGCCATAGCCCACAGAGGGCCTCTGTAGGAAGCATAGAACCTATGCCTTAGAACCCTCCTAGCATCAGCTGCCCTGCCTTGGTTGCCACCTGCTGGGATGGGCCTAACCCAGTCGGTTTGTCTCAGGTTTCCTCCTGAGGCCTGGGCTCTACAGAAGGTGGGCAGGATACACCTATACCTCTGTTCTCGTTACGTTGTCTCCAATTGCTGTATGAACATTTCTGTACTAAGCCCTATTAAATAAAGTCGGGTTAAACCCAAACGCTGTATAGTAATTTGTAATTATGTATAAAGTAAAGCAGTTTTGAACTGTAAAGATTTTCAATGTGTTTTCTGGAAATTTGCCACAACATACTGGCTTTGTATTTTTATTTATCATCCTTTGTAGTTACTGGCTTCAGACTATTGTAAAGTCCCCCTTAGACCTTTCAAAAATAATAAATTTCCTTAAAAATCTTGATCTCTGCCGTGGCATATTCGTGGTAAAGGAATATTCATCTCCCCACCCTGATGAGCCACCTGTTTGTGCTGTTGGGAGCAGGGTGCAAGGAGGAGAGGGCTCCCACATGGAGTAAAGCCGGGCATTAGCCCCAAACCCCCAGGGTCACTGACCACTACCCTAAGTTAAGAGCCCAAGCCAAGTCAGCAGTGAGGTTCAAGATGCTGTGCTGTCGACATGCTCCCATCTTAGTTAGCTCAACCCTGAGGAGCAGCTGGAAAACCCAAGGAGCAAATCCTCTCTGCTTGGAACACTGGAAGCGTGTGCCAGGCAGGACTGTGACTGGTGCAGTCCCCAGACTGTGACTGGGGACTACTGTCCCCAGGCCTGGCTTCCTACTGCTATGAGTTTCATTCAAGCAGATCAGCAAAAAAGCCCTTTAGTTCTGAACATTAGGGAACCATACCATTTAGTGGTACAGAAGCTATGGGCAAAGCTCCCTACCATCCCACCTCTGCTGCCTGGTTCCCAAGAATCGGCAAGAAAAAGCCCTGCCAGGCTCTCTAAGGTCCCACTCTGTCCATGAACTTGGAATTGCATACATTTTTTTTTAGCAGAGGCATTTGTAACCTTAGCAAAAACGGCTCCCACTTGTAGTTACTTGAATACTGACCCCCTTTTCCACATCTGCCCTTGGCTGTCTCCAGCCCCTCCCCACTGAGCAGCCAGCTTGGCTCATCTGTCCCACCCCAGTGGGTCTGGACACACTTGCCTGCAGAACAGTGGTTCTTATGGATCAGTTCACCTCCACTGCAGCTTGTTCTGAGCCAGAGACAGACCCTTGTCTGGGAGTCAAAGCTGGCAGGAAACATACACAAAGTACAGGGCTCCGAGAACCCCGGGTGGCCATTCTGTGTGGTATGGTACACTCCTGCTGGCCCCTAAGGGAGGATATTGTACATAGGACCTCCACCACAGCACAAACATGATGTGTGAAGGTGGCCATCACAAGGGACAGCTCATGACAAGGGTAACCAGCTGTATCTTTTCTATAAGGGACCTGCAGCAAAGGCTCCACCAGGAAAGCCAGCATAGTATGACTGCTTCACACAACCAGACAGTAGAACCTAAGCCCACGGTGGGGAAAGGACATTAGGAAGCCACACAGACTAAATATCCAGGGAAGGAAGATCTTGCAGATGAGAATGACCGGTCCCACGGACTAGTCAAACAGGGTCTACCTGAAAGAGGGTGTGGAAATGATAGAGACAGAGACTCGAAGAATGGAGACCAAGACAGGTTTCTGATCAAGGTCTCAGTTTACTGAACATACAAACATTTATAAAGCAAAGGGTTATAAGCAAATTTTCTCACAGTAACGATACATCTGTGACACCTGGCAAGGTATTCCAGGAATTCACTCAAGGTTACACAAAGTTTGCTCTCTGGTTCCCAGGGTTACATGGAGCTTGCTATCTAGTTCTCAGGCTCAGAACACCCTGCTTGCAGAGACTACTAAGGACAGTCTCTGAGAAATGGAACTTTAGATAAGACCCAAATCTGCCAAGGCCAGAAGGCAGAATTCCAATTACCAGACTCCTTCAGAGAAAGGTAGGTTGATGTGCTTGGTTTTAGGATTTCCACAGCAACAGAACTGAGTAGCAGCAGGCTGTGGACATAAGATTTCCAGTACCAGTGTACAGCCCTGGGCCTGGAATCCATCTCTCCATCAGTCCCAACTGCTCTGCCACCCAAGGGTGCTCCTGAGGCCTTAGAAGTGGCAAGTGCAGGACAGGGAGGGGCCTACAAGGTAGTGGTGAGTGCCCCAGATCAGAGGAATGTGGCCCAGGCACTGCCTGTGACACCCCTCTGGGGTAGCTGCCAGCTCCCTCCCTTCCCCAGCCCATCTGCCATCCTTGCTCCCAGAGTATCCAAGTTACAGCTCTCCCACCAGCTTTCAGATGGTAATTACTCTACAAAGCTTCTCTTTGCAGCTTCTCCCTGGGAACCATCTTCCCAGCAGGGATCAGGGGGCTTCCTGAAACTGCCAGCCGAAGGCAAGACCTTCTTTCTCTCCTTTGTCTCCTTTGAGCCATCCTGAATTGCCCACTCTGCCCAGCCTCTGAATGAAGAGGGGCCTGGACCACCTCAAGCTGTGGTCCCAAGCTTTGCCTACATTTGTGCTATCCAAAGAGGAGGATGATCCTCTGAGCCAGTGTTGCCCGTCCTGATACAAGCCCAGCAAATGGTGAGACACTTGAGAGGAAGGCTGATACGCCAGCCTTTACACCAGAACACATGAGCGATGGGACAGTACAGACTTGCACCAGAGAAACTGGATACAAACCAGTCCTGCCCTGTCACTGCCGCTGACATTGGAGGATGTTGTATCCTGCTTCCGGTGGAGGTCTGATGAGAAATGTCAAGAAGCATATGACTTTAAAGTGGCATGAGCAGTTTGTGGCAACACTAGGATTCGTGTTCCCCTATCTATAAGCTCGTAGATGCTGGTCCAGCCCTCAGCCCGTCCGGAGTGCCTGGCACATAACCATGCTCTGAACACTTGTGGTTGCTGGGCCTGCATGGCACTAGGGACTGCTTCAGAACTCACACTCCTTCTTGCTCTCCAGGCTGTCACCTCCTCTAGAAGGCTTTCGGCTTGGTGGACACCAGCCTTGGTGTTAGAAGTCAGTGTCCTGTCAAGGTGTCCTGGGTCATCAACCGGCCCCTGGTTTAGTGTACCCTGAAATGCACCCCTGATCTGATAGATAGGCTGTAGAGAGGGATCCCTCTCCATGGTTAGAACCCCAAGTTGCATGAGGGACTATTCAGCAGCAGAGTGAACACAAAGGAGAACGGGGAACAACTATGCCCACAAGAGAGGCACAGTCTAGGCTGGGCAGGGTTTGGGTTTGGGGGAGCCCTTCAGGAGTCTCCAGAAGCAATGAAATGTGGGAGCAGAGGACACCAGGACACTTTGGTTGACCCAAGGCAAGCTACAGATTGCAGATTCTGATCTTAGCCCCTGCCTCTCAGACCTTGCTAACCTACTCTTTCCAATCTGCTATTGACCATCCCCCTGCAGGGTGTCTTCCTGCGGAAGGAAGTACCCACAGTCGGTTTAATATCACTATGAGTCACCAGTACCTGCTGACAAATAATGGGAAATATGGGTGTTCATTTTGTAACTGAAATTTTGTCAGGTAAGTGTGTGTGTATGTGTGTGTTGGCTAGTTTTATGTCAACTTGATAAAGGTTAGAGTCATCAGAGGAAAATTGTTTCCATAAGATCTATCTGTAAGCCATTTTTAAAATTAGTGATTGAAGGCGGAGGGCCCAGCCCATTGGGGATGGAACCATCCTTGGACCGGTGGCCATTCTATACTGGTGGCTACATTCTATAAGAACAGCCAAATAAACCCTTTTCTCCTAAAGTTACTTTGGTCATTTTTTTTTTTAAATCATAGCAATAAAAACTATAACTAAAACAGTATGAGTGTGTGTGTGTGTGTGTGTGTGTGTGTGTGTGTGTGTGTGTGTGTGTG